AAGAGCCAGGCCCGTGGCTGCTGCGGGAAAGGGGATTCTCCTGGGCGCAGCCGGGCGGAGGTGCGTGCGTGGATGGCTGCTGGGCACCGTCCCCGGCCTCCCCTGTAACTCCAAAGGCTGTCAGCACCGCTTGGTCCCACACAAAAACCGATTCCCCTCTGCCAGATGCGGGGAGCTGAGGTCCGAGGCACCTGCCAAGGCTTCAACATCGCCGTTCCCCGGGGCAGAGCCAAGCCCCATCCTGGAGGAAGCGAAAGGCGTGGCAGAAGGCACCGGGAGGGTCTGCTCCGTCGCTAGAACGCCCCAGCTCAGTCCCGTCCCCACGCCCGCTCCTCTGGGCTCCCCACGTCAGGCACAGGCGGGCGGCACGGCCGCCGGGCTTGCAGCGTGCGGGTGCAGAAGTGCCCTCCAACCCCGGGTGCCTTTTCTGGTCCCTGCTGGCCTTTTGCTTTGCAAACGCTCCCGGCCACGCTGTCCCGATGCGGCCGGGCTGCACGGCCTGATACGCCCGGTGCGCAGCCTCGCGTTTCACTCGGCACAGGGTCGTGTTTAAGGCCCCGGGTAACTCAGCCTTCCTTCTGCTGTTAGCTCAGCCACTCGCCTTTTTAGGTTCCCACAAGCAACACACAATCCCTGCCCCAGCTCCTTCCGCTGCATAATGGGAATAATATTTACCAACTCCAGCATGTGAATCTGGGGGTTATGTGGCAAGCCTCTTAGAGAAAGCATGAAGTTCAAAGGCACGTATAATAACAGATATTATCTATAATTATAGCAAAGCATAGCCTGTCTTGAGAAACTGAAAAAAAAGCTCCCACATCTCGGTGTTATTTCATGCTTTAACAGCACTCACCACTCCGTTCATGTGTTGCAATTTTAGCAAGAGCAACTCTGGAAATGCTTTTGGGTCTTTTTTTACTGTTATTAGTATGAAAATGAGGCCTCTTTGTTCGGGTGCCCAAACAAGATCCCCAGCGATCCCGTCATTACCAGCTTATCTGGCGGGTGAGTCATCTCAGAGCGAAGCTGTGCGGAGCCGTCCCATCTGCCTGAATACATCCCGCGTCCAGCACGGCTCTGTTCAAGGGACAGGCAGGCTGCCAAATCCAGCGCCGAAGGGTGAACGCGTCGTGTCAGCTCCGCTGCTCCCCCACCCACTGCCGCCCATTCTGGGGCTGCGCCGTGCCCCTCCG